ATTCACGAATTACGATGGATCCATGAATCACGAAGGTCCGATAAAGCAGGATAGATTGACGAATCACTATGGATCCACGGAGCACGAAGGTTTCCCGAAATTCAATAGATCCACAAAACGTGATGGATCCGTGAAGCACGATGGACCCACAAAAAAGGGATCCAGAAAGCACGATAGATCCACGAATCACGATGGATCCGTGAATCAGCAAACTTCCATAGAGCGCGATATATTCACTAGTCGCGATGGGTCCATGAATCACGAAGGTTCCATAAAGCACGATAGATTCACGAATTACGATGGATCCATGAATCACGAAGGTTCTACAAAGCACGATAGATTCATGAATCACTATGGATCCACGGAGCATGAAGGTTTCCCGAAATTTAATAGATCCACTGAATGTGATGGATCCGTGAAGCACGATGGACTCACAAAAAAAGGGATCCACAAAGCACGATAGATCCACGAATCACGATGGATCCGCGAAACATTATAGTTCCACGATCATGAGGGTTAGCGAAACGGGATTGATCCACGAAGCGTGATGGATTCATGAAGCAGGATGGATCTATGGAGCATGAAGGTGCCCCGAATTACAATGGACCCATCAAAAAAAAATGGATCCACAAAGCACGATGAATCCACGAATCACGATAGATACGTGAAATATTATAATTCCACGAATCACGAGAATTGGCGAAACGTGATAGATCCATGAAGCACGATGGATCCCCAGAACACGAAGGTTCCTCGAATCACAATGGACCCCTCCAAGAAAAAAAAGGATCCACAAAGCACGATGAATCCACGAATCACGATGGATCCGTGAAACATTATAGTTCCACGAATCATGGGGGTTGGCGAAACGGGATTGATCCACGAAACGTGATAGATCCATGAAGCACGATGGATCCCCAGAACACGAAGGTTCCTCGAATCACAATGGACCCATCAAACAAAGAAGGATCCACAAAGCACGATGAATCCACGAATCACGATGGATCCGTGAAACATTATAATTCCACGAATCACGAGGGTTGGCGAAACGCGATAGATCCACGAAGCGTGATGGATCCATGAAGCACGATGGATCCCCAGAACACGAAGGTTCCTCGAATCACAATGGACCCCTCCAAAAAAAAATGGATCCACAAAGCACGATGAATCCACGAAGCACGATAGATCCCCGAATCACGATGGATCCTCGAAACGCCATAGTTCCACGAACGACGACGTATCCGCGAAAAACGAAGGATCCGCGAAACACGATGTAACACGGGACGCGGTTCCGTGGTCGAGACGCCTTCTTTCGCGGCCGCTTGTGCGAGGAGGGAAAGTTACGCTTCCTGGTCGTCGCATTGCGGCGAAAAGTTTGCGGGCTTGGAGGGCCTTTACTCGACGAGCACTCGTGCCCCGACTCGAGTGTATTCGAGTTCTACGGCCACCTCGCCGCCGGGGCATCGATCTCCCGCCTGTATTGCGCCGCGTAGCGTCGCGGCGCGTTTTTCGCAGCCGCTCGCGCGCCACGGGCCCCTCGATCGAGAACAATGTCGCGACGGAGCGAGGTGCAAAGGTGAAGCGGTTTATGGGTCAAGCTTTAAGCGCTACTCAAGTGCAATCAAGCAGTTAGCTCGGTAATAGGGAGGCCGATTCGAGAAGAAAGGCTGGCAGACGGTTGACTGGCCCGCTGCTTCGCTCGTTGCTTCGTCGCCCTCGCTGGGGTTAACGCGGTGCGCTTCCAGGGTGGGCAGAACGGACTGACTTGTACATAGGGGTTGGTTTATTAGTCGTTCATGGTGTTCGTATATTTTTATTTTCCCTCCCATTTCTTTTCCACTTCATTTTTATCGGATTTCTTTCAAAAATTTATCACGTTTCTCGGGTAATAAAATAATATTCCTCCGAGAGAGAGTTATATATTTATTTATTTATCTATTTGTAAACGGACTGGAAGCCCTTTATGTACATAACTGTGTAAACATAAGAGAAACAGAAGAACAAAGATTTTATAATTTCTAGAAAGCTTGTGTGCTTGTAAAATATTGCACTCGACGATTTTTTAGCTAGAGAAGAGTAGAAATACAAAGATTCTCTGTTAAAAAACTGACGATACTTTCTTGAGCAGTAAATAAAGAATTGTATAATAATAGAATTGTAGAATTATTTGATTTCGATACCTGGCACACTGTTACATTACATTAAATTTGATATATTAATTAATATCGATCTTCCAAATTTTATGAAACGGTGATTGAGTGCAAAGGGTTAAGTTATTGTGTAATGTTATGTAATATATTGTTACACTGAGATAGATTGATTGCAATAGAATTTTTTATTTACACATAAATTGTTTATGGTTATATCGAACACTAAAAACAAAATAATTAAACGCGTTTGATTGACTAACAATATCCTCGATTACAAAATTGTAGGTACAACTCGTTTAACATTAAAAAGAATTTATTATCGATTACCTAACACACAAACTATAAGCACATATATGTTTCTACAATCTTCCTATATTCCCCTAGATTTTTTTATTACATCGTTTACTAAGTTACACAATTTAAATACTTATTTAAATTTAATCAGCTCATAAATACATTACAGGGTACCATAAATCAACAATTCCGTTTCATCAGGCCACTAATATACCCACCTTATAGAGTCCACTTTAATAATTCAATTACACCATCATTCCCCCATTTTCTCCTCAACGTTCCACTGAAAAATCTCATGTATATACCCATAAAATTCTACACTCTAAATAATCGTGTCTAATATCGAATTCTTCGATGAACCTCGAGGAAAGATACACCAAGTGTACGTACGCATTGCGAAAGACGGTAGCCGGATTCGAGTTGTGGACAATTTCGTGGTTTCCCAAAAAGACGTGCTTCCCGGTTCCGATAGTCGGTTCCTCGAATTCCTCGAGATATCTCGATTTATCGCGCGATTTTGGGCGCGCCCGGAAGCGGCGGGCCCGCCGCGATAAGGCCCAGGGACCGAGGAGGAATTAAAGAATTACCCGCTCGTAGCCGGTAACGCAGGTTCATGAGAGGAGCTTAGATGGGATCGAGGACGAAGCACAGGGAAGGATTCGCCTTGCCTTCGGGACGTCTTCCTCGCTACGCGCCGATTACGAAACGGCTCTCGTACCGTACCTGCGCAGATAAGCGTGTGTACGCCGCGAGGAACTTTTTCCGCTTTGTATCTCCGCGAGATAAGAGCGGAGCACACGAGCGAACGCGCGCCCCGCCGACACGTACGCGCGCGTGAACAATCGCGTTTTTCCACGTCCCATGCCCGCGACCACGTAACTACGTCCCCGCGATCCTATCGCCGCGACTTATCTGCGGCCACCTAATCGCGTAACGGGACCCTGCTATCGGTTAGCCGAGATATCGATTAAATTAGCGAAACGCACGCTCGCCGGTCGGATAAGAAGAGGGACGACCGGCGTTACCCGGGTTATTTACGACGGGGCCGTGCGCGAAAGAATCTCGAAATTCGAGGGAAGGTTGCTTTGGTAAGGAACGAGGGAGAATGGGGGTTTTGTGAGAAGCAATTTTATTATATCGTGATAAAATTGTTTCGTTATTTGCACCCCTGTCCCGGGTATTGGAGCTTCGAGGCATGATAATTAGCCGAGGGGGGTTCGATTTTTCAAAATAGTGGTGAAATGTTTCGGTGAGGGGCAGAGTTGTGTGTTTTTAAGTGTCGCGAGATTTATTTTATTGTAATAAAATTGATAAAATTGTTTCGTTATTTGCACCTCTGTTCCTAGAATGGGAGCTCCGAGGCGTGATAAATAGCCGAGGGGGTTCGATTCTTCAAAATTTTGGTGAAATATTTCGGTGAGGGGCAGAGTTGTGTGTTTTTAAGTATCGCGAGATTTATTTTATTGTAATAAAATTGATAAAATTGTTTCGTTATTTGCATCCCTGTCCCTGGAATGGGAGCTCCGAGGTATGATAATTAATAGGGGGACCGTATCTTTCGACTTTTTCAAAATTTTGGAGAAATATTTCGGTGAGAGACAGAGTTGTATGTTTTTAAGTATCGCGAGCTTTTGTTTCGCGAGGTTTGCTTGGTCATTGCGCAAGGGTCTCAGGAAGATCGTGGTACCATGAGCCCCCTGACTTGGATCACTTTGACGAGTATACGTGTCGATCGTAGGAAAATATTCTTAATATAAATTTTACCAAAAAGGGGTAGCAAAACTCAGGAAATCTTGCATTGTTGTTAGATTATTATTACATGAATTGTTATTATAATTTATCGTTGATAGATTATTAATAGTCTAAAAATGATCAAGAAGTAATAAAATTCATAAAGAACAGAATAATTTTAATAAATTCAGTTGACTCCAGTGTGGTATTTTTCAATACACAATAAAATAAACGAAACAATTCGGTAAATACCAGATGCATTGAAGAAACTAATCACTTCAATATCCCATTAGGAATATTCATTATACCCAAGAGAATAACCAAATTTCTGTTATAAAGAAAAAAGATAAGTTTAATTATATACAAAAATCAATCTGAGATAAATTATTTATAAGATCTAAATTCCGGGAACGAATGTTTATATAAATAGTTAAAAATTGGGGGTTTAGGCAAACTGCGTCATGTACCCCCTTGACACACACATATATATCCTATATTAATATATATAAATAAAATTCATAATCCTAATAGAAACCGACATTTTTATTACATCTTATTAAAATTTCGAGTTTCCATAGTAAATGATAAATTTTTATTTTACACGACGAGTATGCACACCAACAGCAGCTTAATTCTCGATCATCTTTGAAACCTGTTGGTAGACCTGTCTTAAAATCCCAGTTGCACGATGATTTCCAAGATACCATAACCACCCTCTCGACCTGGAAACAGTCTCAACGTAAAATCACGGTAGTACTACAATTTTTACAACCTGGAACTCACTTTGATACAGAATCGCGATATCACGGCCTCCGAAGTACAGACGTAGTCCAAATCACGCTATTACGATAACCTTCGCGACCTGGAGATGACTCTCGCGATAAATGACAATACTATAGCCACCCTAGCGACCTGACCTTGGAAAAGGCAGTAATCTACCGACCTTTGCGAGCTATAGCTAATTTCGACAAGAAATCGCGTCATCCTCGGCGCGCAGAGGCAGGCCAAATGACAAGTGACAGTAGTACGGCGATGCTGGCAACCCGAAGATGACTTTGACGATAAATAACAGTAGTCTGGCCACCCTCGCGACCCGAAGGTGGCCCTGAGAGAAGATCACAGTGCTACGACTCGTCGTTTCGTCCCAGCGTTAACGAGAAGAACTCAGGCCAGGGTAATCCGAGAACGTTTCTCCGTGAGCCAGAACTCTACCCCGTGTGCAGTTACACGAGCTACTTTTCATGTCCCCTGACAACGTCGTTTCACGGCACGTGTTCCTCCGTTCCGA